AAAAGTTTATAAATACATCAAAAAATCACTTAATTTTACATTAATACATACACTTGACTAATAAATGTGGTTTTATGTTGGTTAGGGACGACGTGAATGTGAAAGGATATTTCTACTGGAGTTTATTTGATGACTTTGAATGGACCGAAGGGTATGGAGTTCGATTTGGACTTTATCATGTTGATTTTGTTAATAATTTGAAGCGAATTCCCAAACAATCTGCTAAATGGTATCACAATTTTATCAAGGGTGACAAAAAATAAGTAAAGATTTTATATGAACTCCCATGGATAGGTTATAAACCAAAATGTTGCCTTATAATGTATAAACTACAAGTTTTAAATTGAGTATTTTTTACTTTTTATTTTAAAAATTAACAATAAAGATAAGATTAATACTTGATAAATTATATAAGTAGTATTCACATGATAACGCATATCTTATTATTTATTTTTAAATTGTAAAAAGATATTTTTTGAATAATTTGAAGTAATTATTAGGTTATATTTTTTTAGAATTTTTCTGAACTATTGACAAGACATACCATGCATACACATCTTTCTTAACTATTGACAAACCATATACTCTATATACACATCTTTCTTAACTATTGACAAGATACACATGCAAACATAGTTAATCAAATTTAATATCTCTAGAAAAAATAACATTAATAAATTAACAATATTAGAAAGTTCGATTACATCTTAACACTAATTATAAAATTATTGTTTTTGAATAGTAATTGTAAAGTTATTTTTTTCTTAGTGTTACACTTGTAATTCACATGTTTATATATGAGTTTAGAATAACCAATTGTTTGATTAAAACATTATTAGTGTTAAGAACCATGAGAAATGCGACTTACAATATTTAATTTATGTTAAAAAAAACTTAATAAATTATGGGATAAAGCATATAAACAATTCCTGAACTTTTAGGAGTTTGTATTTTGGTCAACTAACTTTTGAAACTTATAATACAATTATTGAACTTTTAGTTAGTTTTCAGTAAGGTCCCTGTCGTTACCTCCCATTATTTGGAAGTTGTTTTAAAAGTGATGGATGTGATTCATTGGGATCATAAATGACGTGATAAGTCGGGACCATGAAATAAATTCTCAGTTAACGAGAGTTAAGTGTCATGTCAGATAAAACTAATGGGAGGTAATGACATGGATCTCACCGAATACGAACTAAAATTTCAATAATTGTATTGTAAGTTTCAAAAATTAGGTGATCAAAATATAAACATATTAAAAGTTATGGACTATTTATATATACTTTACCCTAAATTATTCTCCATCTAAACTATCCATATTTTAGTAAGTTGTCGCTTAGTTTTTTTCCCCTTTAGTTCTCCTAGCTTTAAAACATTATTCGAGTTACCTCAATTCATTAACATCTGTTAAAAAAATTATATATGAATTTAGAATAATTCTTCTCTGCCATCCTCGGTTGTGACATCCCTTACTATTTCTTCAAGCTCCTCGTCGACAAATATGGACATGAAGGTACGTATAATTTTATATTATAGGTGAATTTTTAAATTTTTAAGAAATGACAAATATATAACATTTTACAGATAAAAAGTATATTTTTAATAAAGAATACATAAAAGATTTAAAATATACGTAATTTTAAATTTTCATGGGATAATTACCCATTCTATCTCTCAATCCGTCCCTATCGACAATCGTTCCATCAAATTCATAAATAATTTTTTTCTAAGTTTATTGTAACATCTTCAAATTCTTAAATAAAAAATTTTCTAGGTTTGATGATCATAAAATCATTTGGTAGATAAAAAAATTTATTTGAAGTATCAGAAAATGTTTCATATTCGATTAAATTCATTTGAATAAAAGATTATTCTATTCAGGATTAAATTAAAAATTAAAAAATGAAATTAAAAGTTTAAGGATTAAATTGTAAAGTGGAAAAAGAAGAAACCTTACATGGGTATTGGTCCAAAATATTACATTAGTGGATTCTGATGGGTTTTGGTGGCTAGGACCACTAGGTGTCAATAAAGTGTCTTATTGAATTGTGAAAATTAATTAATTAATATTAAATGAATTATAATTTGAAAAAAACATTTTACTTGTATATGAATTGGAGAAAGTGAAAAGGAAAGTAATTTTCTTCTTCTACCTCAAATCTTCTCAACCATTAATGAATGTTTCTTTGAATCTTTAAATTTCTTTAAATATTTGTGAAACCAATTTATATCGTTCATTTACCACAAAAATCACTTGGTTCATACATATCATTCATCTTTAAATGCAAAACTTGTTAAGATTCTTTCAAATCCTAAAATAAAGATAAAGTTTTTTTCACAATCTAATTTTAAGAACATATATTAAAGATGATCCTCTCAATCTAATTTTTTAGGGTAAACTATACGGGTGATCACTAAATTATGGTCAAAAATCATTTTGACCACTGATGTTTTAATTTAATCAAACAGACTATCCAACTATTTAAATACTTCAATCAAGTCACCTGCCATTAACAGTTAACGAAACAGATTGAAAGTTAAAATCATTTTGATATAATTACACAATTGATTCATGTTTCTTATATATTCTTTCAATTTGGTCATCGTTTTAATAAATTAAAATAATGACACATGTCATTATTCGATTGGAGAACTAAATTTATTTTTAATTTATAGATTTATTTTTCTCCAATTAGAGGGTGACAATAGTTGAAAGAAAATAAACTAATGCATAAGGGGGCAAGGTGGGATTCGAACCAAGGACCCTTAGAGTTAAGAGGGAAAAACCAAACCATTGGGCTAAAACATCCATTTAATTATTTTCATTCAACAAATACTATATATATTGTATCTTAGTAAATTTTTCTTTAGAGAGCAAATAATATAATTGATAAATAAAAACTAAGAATATTTTTTACATTAACAAAAAATACGAATATATAAAACATATAATAATAATAATAAAATATTTTAAGTTAATATATTTTTAAAATATATTTTTAAAAATTAAGATACAAATAAAATATATTTTTAAGTGAAGATAAAGATAAAATATATATTTTTACATTAAAATAACAGTAAAATATATTTAATATGTTAAGAAAAAAAATAAAATATATTTAATAAGTTGAGATGAAAATAAAAAAATTAAAAATTTAAGAATTAAGATATATAAAATAATACATTAATATTTTTTTAATATAAAATATTATATTAGTATTATATTAAAAATATATATAATATTAAATTATATAATTAAAGAAAATTTTTAATATATTTAATATATTTGTATTTTTTATTACTGTAAAAAATATTCTTAATTTTATTTATTAATTATATTATTTGTTGTTTAAAGTGAAATTTACTAAGATACAAGATGTATATTATTTGTTATATGAATATAACGAAATGGATTCCTTGGCCAATAGTTTGATGCTTTCCTTTTCTCCCAAGTTGTCTTTGTTTCAAATCCCACTTGCCCGCTTATGTGTTGGTTTATTTTTCTTTTAATGGTGACACATGTCACACTATGATGAAGGAAAGTAAATCTATACATTAAAATATATAAGCAATATAAACCAATTATGTAATTATATCAAAATATTTTTAACTGTCACGTCACTTGTTCCGTTAATTGTTAAGGGTAAGTGACTTGATTTAAGCATTTAAATAGTTGGATGGTCTGTTTGATCAAATTGAAACATCAGTGATCAAAATGATTTTTGACCATAGTTAAGTGGTCACCCGTGTAATTTACCCTTTTTTATTTATAATATTCAAATCTTTAATTTTATCTAAAATCTTTAATATCACATATCATCAAGTAATCTAATTATTAATAAAACAACTAATTTTTTTCACAAACAATGACGATGGAAGGGAGTGGGACTTATTATTTCCATAATTTGTTAAGAATTTTGGTCAACCATTATTGGAAGGAAAAAAAAAATGCAGAGAGCATCCAATTTCAAGAACATCTACGCCTATGGATGCTTTATGTCTATCCGAAAGTTGATTAAAACTTATATACACTATATTTTGAATACAAATAAATCATAAAAAAAAACTTACCTTGAGTTTTGGTGACCTTTACAGGCTAAATTACACATTAGTACCTACATTATTAGTTTTAGTCTATTTTAATACTTAAATATTTTATTTTTTTAAGTCATACTTAAAGTTTAGTTTTTGTTTAATTTTAATAGCGTTGTTCAAAATTTAATGTTAATTTTTTAAAAAAATGAAAATTTAGGTAGTAAATTTGTTAAATTTTTTAACGGTGGGTACTAAAATTAGGTATGATTTTGAAAAATTAAAAGTTTAGGTACCAAAATAAATTAAAATTGATAATGTATTTATTAAATGTGTAGTTTATTATGGGAGTCTTCATTTAATAATTTGGACGGTGGAATACCTTTCTTAAAGTGTAAAATAACATAATTTCTTTTTGATTCTGCCCAATGGCAGATGATGGTGATGGTGATGGTAATGGTGATGGTGGAGATTAAAAATAATAAACTGAAACATTCAACACTAGATCGTATGATTTAGAGTGTTTACCTGTTAAACGTACACAAGATTCATGTCTATGAAGACAAGGTTGTTGAAAACTTTTACGATCATCAACAATGGAATCAGAGAGAGAAGAAGTAAAATAGAGGAAAAAAATCTTTTTTTTTATTTAAAATGATATCCTTTTCACATCGATATTATTTTGATACATCATCTTATTATTTATTATGTCATCTTATTTTCAAAATAAGAGTAAAAGAATAGATTGATAGAATTTATAAATACTATAAAAATATATTATGAGATTATAATTATAATTTAATGTATTCTATCTATAATATTAAGATTCAAAATCTTCATTCTGATTTGGAAGAAACAAGAGTGTACTGGATTTATTTGTTTAACCATTGGTATTAGTATATTGATAGAATATTCTGAATTAAATTTTACACAAATGTCTATTATAGGAATAAACTTTTCAACTCGGTTTGTTCTCTTTGTAAACATCATAATTCAAACTCTAGACTTTACTTAAAGTATCTAATATCTCGTCTCATCAGACCAATGGGACGTTGGTACTAATTTGACAAAATGCATTTGTGTGATACGGTACAGTATACATTATACATATAGGGGCTTTTTTGGAAGAATGTTTTTCACTCAGAAAACGTATGATACACGTATAGGGAAATGTATGTAGAAATCAGAAAATAGCAGAACCGTGTCTACACATGCATTCAGGCACTGGATATGCAATCACATCTCTGTCTCTCTCCTTCTTCCTTGGCTCTGGCTTCATTGATTTACTATGGACTGATCTTGTGATCCTACTCAATTCTTCATCTGCGATAGATGAATCGTCAAACAACGGAAGCATCGTTCTTTTGTTAGGCCATATGCTTTTCCTATGTCCCATGTACGCTCGATGTCCCCGTAAGGCTCGCCCCATGTTCCCGCCATGGGACGGTATAAAGATGTCGCTGTTAAACGATACGACGTAGTCTATCGCCGATAGAGCCGAGGAGCTGTTGAGGAACGGCGAGAGTTCACCATCGTGTGCCAACATTTCCTTCCGAACCAAATTCGGGAACTTGGCAGCTAGTGGTGCCAAAGCTTTGGTGCCACCAAACGGCTCTCCTCCCGCGATGTAAAACCGAGTAGTTTTCGGTGCGCCTAAGGCCTTTAAAAGCCTACAACAAAATAAGCTTTGATGCCATTTACCTTTCAACTTTGAAATTCGAGTCCAGCTGAATAAACGAATGGATTTTTTATACTTACCTTGCCATCTCTAGTGCATTTAGAGGGCACAATCCCGAGAGGCGTCGTTGACTAGAACTCATGTTGACTCTCCCGGTGAGATACTGAGGCTGAGATTTCTGAATCCCGGTTACGATTTTGTCGAATTCGGGACCTAATCCGGTGAGACATCCGGTTCGGACCCACACATCTTTCTCGAGCCGGAGATGAAGGGCTACATATGGACCTTCAATCCACATTCTTCTCGCTAGCTGATTCCCAACCTTGAGAACTGGCTTGGAAAATCTCAGAGCATGGAATGCTACCTGGAGAATTCGAGTTAGATACGAATGTTGGATGCGAATATTTCAAGAAAAATGAAAAGTTGGACAACCAAACATGAAGTACCTTGCACCTAAGCTTTTGCAAATCAGATGGAAGATTCTTGGAGAGCTTAGAATCCACTCCTTTTAGCACAAGAACACCTTCTTGATTGAGCTGAAAACAAAGATAATATACAATGAGGTTCCGATATCCGTGTATTTGTTTCGTGTTTGTGTCGATACCGAATCGAATTCCGCTTACTTGTTTGAGGAATTTAGCACGAATCCAAGAAGGGGGAACACCGTAAGGAATCTGTGTGGCAATGGTCTGTTTAGCAACCATATGAGACGATGGTAACGAAGATACAACCCTTACATCAGCTCTTAAAGTCTTCTTGAAGTGTTCGACATCGAAAATATCTGAAAATTCACTGAAATCCCCATTGAAAAACACAAAATGATTTCATTTTCATCAGCTAAACGAGCCCTAAATTGATTGTTGTTTGTACTAACATCACCTTTCATCTTCCCAAATCATGTTGACCTGCAAGATGGGCACAACTAAAGCAGCTTCGAGGATTCGAGCGATAACAACGGCATCGATGATTTGATTCCGCTGTTGATTCAATCCCCCGGCGGCAACGACGACCAAGAATCTGTTCTTCTCAATCAAAATCTTTGCAGATCTTTTGCGGTACCCCATTGTCGAATCCAAGCAAGGACGGTAGCCATTTCCATCGGGTTGTTTCCAGAACTCGGTTTCTTGTTCTGATAAATTCCCGGAAACAAGATGAACCGGTAATGGAACCATTGATGTGCCTCCAATTCTGGGTTGAATCTCGTTGTTGGAGTTCAACCCAGAAAGCAAAGATGCCAAGATGATTTTAGAGTAGGGAGAAGGTAAAGAGTGGGGTGAGATTGGGGAAATTGCTGGAGATTCTATGGAAGTACATCGGATTGAATCATTGGAATTTGGAAAAAATATGAAGATGGAGATCCCCAAGAAAGTGAAGGAAAATAGGAAGGAAAGGAAGAAGATTGAGAGGGAAGGGGATGTTTTCTTGGAAGAACAGAGTGATGGTAACGGTGAAACTGATGAGAACAGCTGAGTCAATGATCTTGGACTCGGGGTTAAGCTCAGTAATGGATTCTTGATGATCCTTCCTGACGCTCTTGCCATTGAAGATGAGAACCACAATGTGAAGAATCTAAAGAACCAGTGGTAGTTATCCAGTAGCACAAACAGTTAAATTACCGGGAAAACTTGAATATGACAATTTTATGAGCTATGGAATTATTATAAAATAATCATCAACATATTAAACGATTAGAAAATCATATTCGATAAATCTTTTTCAAATTTTTTAATAATCATTAAATTTTATTAAACCGTTAAAAATAATTACTAAATTATAATGAATTATTATTAAATGATTATTAAGATTTTCAAACCTTATCATTATTATTATATCACCATGATCATTTTATAATAATTAGATGAATTCAATGATTATTTTATAATTTTCAAAATTATAGTAGCTAAAACAATAATTTGACTATATATTAGGGAGCTCTAGTATAGTTTAACCATTTTAAAATGCAACACATTGCAGCCTCTACTCCAGGCCCGCTCGCCATTTCAGAATAATAGCAATGTCTAACAGTAACATTTCTGACTTTTCTCTTTTATTTTTCGAAGGATTCGTCACAAGGCCCCCATCAACTTTGTGTTTGATTTGGATTTTGTCTTGCAAAATAATATGTGGCTATGAAATTATCAATGTTTAGTAAAATAATTTATCTTAAAATTTAGGATAAAGTACACAAATGGTCCCCTAATTATAGGATATTATTGTATTAAGTCTTTTAACTACTAAAAGTTACAAAATAATCCTTCGACTATAGAATGTTACTTTGTTAAGTCCCTCAACTATTAAAAGTTACAAAATGGTCACCAGACTATTTATTATGTTCCAAGCTCGTCTTTTTCCGTTAAAAATTAGTGGTACCTAAGTTGGACGTTAATATGATGGATGAGATATGATAGTTGTTTAAATTTTAGGATTATATTTTATTATATCACAATCGACAGGTTAACATTTAATTAAGAATATCATCATTTTTAACGAAAAATGACGTGTTTGGAACATGATGAATAGTTGGGTGACCTTTTGGTAGCTTTTAATAGTCGAGTGATTCAACAAAGCAACACTCTATAGTCAAATGACTATTTTGCAACTTTTAATAGTCGAGGTACTTAATAAAGTAATACCCTATAATCGGGGGACCATTTGTATACTTTACCCTAAAATTTATTTTAAATATATAAAATCTGAAAATTATTTTAATTTTAAAGGATGATATTTATTTTTATGATTTTGTCAATTTGAAAAGGATTTATTTTTAAAATTAATAAATTGTACGATACATTACTGTCACAACCATCTTTCGGGTGGACCCAGAATTGGGCTTCGACTTAAATAAAATGTTAGAGCCGACACCGATCATTTACTTTTTAAAAAAAATTGGTTGATCGAACACAATTTTACCTTATCTGCGTTTTACCAAAAATATGTCGGATTCGGGAGTCGGTTACGTAAATGAAGGATTAGCACCCTTGAACTGCTCTTTCAGTACCATTTAATTTGTCGGTTGTCTTAGTTGCGAAAATTAAAATTTAAATCTAAATTTAAAAATTCAATTCGAATCTCTTACCTTTGATCGATTGAAATTACTACTAAAAAAAGTCAGAAAGGTGTTAAATGGTAAAAATAAAATATTAAATAAATCAAAGAGAAAGAAAATTAAATTAAGAAAATAAAAAATAAGATGAAGAAAATCTTAAACTTTAGAAAAAAATAAAAAAAAATGTATAAATGTTAAATTTTGAAATAAATAAAATAATAAAATAAAATTTAATGAAAAAACGAATAAAATTTTATTTAAAAAAAAATAAAAAATGTTAAATGTTAGAGATAATAAAATAAAGGAAATAAATAAAACCTGGGGGGATCAAATTGGAATAAACTTAAATTTATGGATTGCAATTAATACTAGAAATGAGCTGCAAGAAAAAACAAAAGTTAGTGGAACAATTTGCAAAATATAAGAAATGTAAACAGGGATCAAATTGAATAAATTCAAAATTCAAGGGAAAATAACAACAGGTGACCAAAACGAATTACACATCAAAATATGAGGGACTGTAGAAATAATTTAACTATTAGTTAATTACACAGTGGTCCCTCAGTTATAAATTATAACATCCTCAATATCGGGTTAGTGACCAAATTGTAAAGTTTTAGAAATTGGTGATTAAAGTAGGATAATTGAATAGTTCAATGATTTATTGGAAATATGATGAAGGTTATTTAGTAATTATGGAATGAATTAAAGGGTAAAATGGTCAATTGACAAGTAAGATTTTTATATTTCTTTTATAAGATAAGGAACCACGTGGAAAAGGAGAATTATCCAGAGTTTTCTTTCTTATTCTTCCTCCTCCCGTATCTCCAAGCTCAAAGGTGAGTTTATTTGTTTATGGATTAATTGTTGAGTTCAAGGTTAGGTTTTGATTATTAGATGATAACTAAGCTTAAGGAAAGCTTAAGTTATCTTAAAATCAAAGTATGATGGAGTTAGGAGGGATTAAAGATTTGGGGTTCTTGGGTAAAATCTTGAAATAGAGTTCATTACTCAAATTGGAAGATAAATTTGACTTGTCAAGGGTTAAATTAAGAGATATGAAGTGATAAAATGAGTTTTGAAACATGTTGGAAATCTGGTATAATTCTTGAAGTTAATAAAGAGGAGAGAATATTAAGGTTCAAGACGATATAAATGAGTTTGAATAGGAGTAAGTAAGTTAAGAATACGAAATGGAATGATATATGAAGTAATTAAGTTGAAAAGAGGGGATTTTCGGGCATAAATTGGATTTCTGGGCTATGTGCATCGATGCACATTCAAGGTGCACCGATGCATCAAGAGTAAATCTCTAGAAATTGTTCAGTGTGTATCGATGCATAGGAAGTGCATCGATGCACCTATTAAAATGAAAACAACGAATACAATTGGTGCATCGATACAAAAGGAGTGCATCGATGCATCCCCTTAAAATGAAAACATCGAAGGTGATTTGTGCATCGATGCACGGGTACTGCATCAATGCACATGCTAAAGAATGCATCGATGCACTGTTTAATGCATCGATGCACTTCAAGAGAAATAGAAATAAACCTTTCTTTTGGTCTAAGAAATGATAGATTAGAGTATATTAATTGGATACTGATATGTATCAATGTATTATTATGTAGATATTGAACTTGACTTTGCTTCAAAGTAATCGAAGGGTTAGAATTGATTCAATTCAAACAAGGCTAAGGTGAGTGCATATGCATAACATGATTATGTTAGTATATTCAGTTCTAGACTTGCAATAAGTCTAGATTTAATATCTTGATACATGATTCATTCAATATTATTAAAGATGATATGAATTCATACCATATGCATTATGGATATACTATGCAGATTGTGGTAAGTCTATTTTCCAGAATAGAGCTTATATATGAATGTATGTGTCATATGGGATTGAATGAGTTACGAGATATCTATATTAGGTATATGAAGTGTGTGTGATGTGTTAGTTATGGTTTATATGTATGAATGAGCATATGCATTGACATGTTACAGTATATATATATTATATGAGTTGTGTAAATAGGTAGATAAATGTGTTAAATATGTGAAATAGTTAAAATGATCAATATGATTTCATAAGAATATGAAATAAGAAGTATGGAAAGGACATAAGAAAGAATATGAAATATATAGCATATGAATATGAAATCATATGAGGGGTGACATGAATTATATGAAAAATAAACTACGTGATTACAAATATATGAAAATATGCTAGTGTGATGGGACCTAGGAACTAGTATACGTGATATATATACATTTATATAAGTTATTGGATGAAAAATGAACAAGAGATAAAAGAGTTGAAGGATAATACTATAGGCGTATGATAAAAACATAAATGATGACATGTATGTATGTATGTATGTATGTATGTATGTATGTATGTATGTATGTATGTATGTATGTATGTATGTATGTATGTATGTATGTATGTATGTATGTATGTATGTATGTATGTATGTATGTATGTATGTATGTATGTATGTATGTATGTATGTATGTATGTATGTATGTATGTATGTATGTATGTATGTATGTATGTATGTATGTATGTATGTATGTATGTATGTATGTATGTATGTATGTATGTATGTATGTATGTATGTATGTATGTATGTATGTATGTATGTATGTATGTATGTATGTATGTATGTATGTATGTATGTATGTATGTATGTATGTATGTATGTATGTATGTATGTATGTATGTATGTATGTATGTATGTATGTATGTATGTATGTATGTATGTATGTATGTATGTATGTATGTATGTATGTATGTATGTATGTATGTATGTATGTATGTATGTATGTATGTATGTACGTACGTATAGTATGTACGTACGTAGGTACGTACGTACGTAGGTACGTACGTACGTACGTACGTACGTACGTACGTACGTACGTATGTATGTATGTATGTATGTATGTATGTATGTATGTATGTATGTATGTATGTATGTATGTATGTATGTATGTATGTATGTATGTATGTATGTATGTATGTATGTATGTATGTATGTATGTATGTATGTATGTATGTATGTATGTATGTATGTATGTATGTATGTATGTATGTATGTATGTATGTATGTATGTATGTATGTATGTATGTATGTATGTATGTATGTATGTATGTATGTATGTATGTATGTATGTATGTATGTATGTATGTATGTATGTATGTATGTATGTATGTATGTATGTATGTATGTATGTATGTATGTATGTATGTATGTATGTATGTATGTATGTATGTATGTATGTATGTATGTATGTATGTATGTATGTATGTATGTATGTATGTATGTATGTATGTATGTATGTATGTATGTATGTATGTATGTATGTATGTATGTATGTATGTATGTATGTATGTATGTATGTATGTATGTATGTATGTATGTATGTATGTATGTATGTATGTATGTATGTATGTATGTATGTATGTATGTATGTATGTATGTATGTATGTATGTATGTATGTATGTATGTATGTATGTATGTATGTATGTATGTATGTATGTATGTATG